TTGCCCCTTACCTGTCCTCATGCTTTCACTCTCCCTCTCTCTCTCTCTGAAATAAATAAATAAAATATTAAAAAAAAAAAATCCAGTCCTTTTTCACTCTTGAGAAAATTTCTTGTCTTCTATTCTGTTCTTTTCATTTTTCTTAATAAAAATCTCCCTCCTGGGAAGCCTGGCTGGCTCAGTCAGTTGAGTGTCTGCCTTTGGCTCAGGTCATGATCCCAGAGTCCTGGGATCAGGTCCTGCATCGGGCTCCTTGCTCAGCGGGGAACCTGCTTCTCCCTCTGCCTGTTGTTCTCCCTTGCCAGTGCTTTCTTTCTCTAATAAATAAAAAAAAAAACAAAAAAAAAACAAAACCTCTCCTTTCATTCATGGACCATACAGATACATTGTAGAAAGGTAATAAAATACAGATAAATAGATAAAAAAATGATGTACTCTGATCATTTAAGGACTGTATGAATTTTGGGTTATTTCCTTTCAGTCTTTTTGTTTATTTTTTATTTTTTAAAGATTTTGTTTTATTTGAGAGAACACAAGCAGGGGGAGTGTCAGGCAGAGGGAGAGCAGGCTCCTCACTGAGCAAGGAGCCTGATGTGGGGCTCGATCCCGGGACCCTGGGATCATGACCTGAGCCAAAGGCAGACGCTTAACCTACTGCGCCACCTAGGTGCCCCAGTCTTTTTGTTTTTTTAAAGATTTACTTATTTGAGAGAGAGCACGCCAGCCAGCGTGAGTGGGGGGAGGGGCAGGGGGCGAGGGGGAAGCAGACTCCCCTCTGAGCTGGGAGTCCCAGCACAGGGCATGCAGGGCTCCATCCCAGGACCCCCAGATCATGACCTGAGCCGCAGTCAGATGCTTAACTGACTGAGCTACCCAGCCACTCCTCCTCTCAGTCTTTCTTAACATTACTATCTAAGCATTTTCTTAATTGCAAACTCAAGTATTTTTAATAGTTATGTGATATTCCATTTTATAAATGTGTTGTGTCACTTAACTATTGTAGGGCAGTTATGTGGTTTATAATTTCAGAATTTCAGTAATCTGCAAGCAATACTACTGCAAGCATGTTTGTAATAAAGCTTTATATATATTTATATATTTGTCTTTACATGTTGTCTTTACAGGTGGTTTTCCTTTCTGAGACTTCCTTCCTCAGTTTCCAGCATCTCTGGTTGCCCCAAAGTCTGTCCTTTGGTTCTTCAAGCCTTTAAGACTGGATTCTCTATAGGAATTTTGGCGCCCCACCTCCAAACCCAGGCCTGTCCTCAGGCGAAAAACCCATTGAAAAACTCACTCTATGCCAGTTCCTTCTTCTAAGTGTAGACTATCTTCCAGTTTGTTTTTGTTGTTGTTTCCCATCACCTTCAAATTGTTTAATATTTGTCCAGAGTTTATACTTATCTGCAGGAGGGTTTAGGTTAAAGGACTACACCTTCAATTACCAGGAAACCTATGGAATTCATTTAAACTCTTTAAGAACAGTGACCATATTTTAATTTGTTTTTTTCTCTACAAAACCTTTTTTTTTTTTAAAGATTTTATTTATTTGAGAGAGAGAATGAGATAGAGAGCACGAGAGGGAAGAGGGTCAGAGGGAGAAGCAGACTCCCTGCTGAGCAGGGAGCCCGATGCGGGACTCGATCCCGGGACTCCAGGATCATGACCTGAGCCGAAGGCAGTCGCTTAACCAACTGAGCCACCCAGGCGCCCTCTCTACAAAATCTTAACACATTGCAGATGATCCAGTAAAAGCTTACTGAGTAAATGAAATGTTCGTTTTGTGAGAACTGTTAATGAATCCAGCTTTTCTAACAAGATAATAGCTTATTTGCCATCCATATATCTTCTTTGATGTAGTATCTGTTCAGATCTTTTGCCCATTTTTAAATTGGGTCATTATTTTTTTTAAGAGTTTTTAATATATTCTGGAACAAGTCCTGTATTGGGATATGTGATTTCCAAATATTTTCTCCTGGTCTGTGGTCTTTTCATTATTATCAGTGTCCTTTGTACAGCGTGTTTTTTATTGATGAAGTCAAATTTTTTAGACATCAGTTTTTCTTTCATTGACTCTGCTTTTGATGTTGAGCTTAAAAAATCATTATCAGACTCTAGGTCGCACAGCTTTTGTTTTTTCTAGAAGTCTTATTAGGTGTTAAATTTAGGTGTATGATCCATTAGTTAACTTTTACATTAAGATTTTTTTTTTAAGATTTATTTATTTATTTGACAGAGAGAGAGATAGCAAGAGCAGGAACACAAGCAGGAGGAGTGGGAGAGGGAGAAGGAGGCCTCCTGCCGAGCAGGGAGCCCGA